TTTTGATACACTTTGGGAGATAAAAAAATTCACCCTTGGAGAATATTACCCTTCAAATTTTAGAGACATTCGGAGCCTTCGAATCATTCCTTTAGTAAAAATTATTGAACAGTACTAAAAATTAAAAACTTCGACAATACAGTAAAAGAAAAACTCCCAAATTTAATAGCGATAGTACAGTAATTTTTTTACGAGCAAAATAAATTTAAAGACACAAGAACTTGTTGAATTTTAAATTACTCTCAGATTAATTAATGTACCAAAAAATTTGTCAAACTTGGCGTTCTTTTTTACGCCCAAAAATTCCGATGTTATTATTATAAGAGAAATTTCATAGTTAAGCAATTGTTATACATAATAATATCTGTCTAGTTTTTTTTATCAAAAACCAACTGAATTCACCATCGTATTTCTAAGATCTCAATTTCAAGTGGGCCATAAAATAACAATTGCCATCAGCTGTTCTCTATACTTTTGTCTAAAATGATCTTGACGAGTCACATAGAATAAAATATTCCCTAATTGGATATTGAAAATAATAGAGTAAATCAGACATGTTATTTAAAACTGTAACATAACTGTTTATTTTTTTGTTTTTGCCAACAGGAAAGAATTCTTTGGAACTTGGACATCAACGAAAACCAACCCTTAAAACACCAGCCAGACTATGAGTTCCCGTCATGCTTGTGATACGTGCTTAAAAAGCTTCGCCTACGCCTCTGATCTCCTAAAACACCGGCGTATTCACACGGGCGAAAGGCCCTTCAGTTGTAACGTGTGTCAACGCGGTTTTTCCGATCCGAGTGCTTTATTGAGGCACAAACGTACTCACACAGTGGCGGTGACCCACCGGTGTACCGTGTGCTTCCGAACCTTCGACCGACGCGATAACCTCACGCGTCACATGCGCAGCCACACCAACGAAAAGCCCTTCTCCTGCGCCATGTGCTCGCTATCTTGTACCCGAAGGGACGATCTCGCGACGCACATTCGTAAAATGCACAATGATTACCGGTGCACCGCGTGTTCGCAAGTCTTCACTCGGAGGGACGATCTCACGAGACACGTGGCCACCAAGCACACTTACCACTGTTACCGGTGTCCCGAGAGCTTTGCTCAAAACGGGGATCTTCAAAGGCACGTGGCCACCAAGCACACCTACCACTGCTACCGATGCCCGGAAATATTTTACCGAAGCAGCGATTTTCGGGGACACATTGTCACTCACGGACCCACAGATTGCCGATGTACCTCTGAATCTCCGAAAAGCCACAACACGGGGATGGCACAATTAGTTTCGAAAAGCCAGTTTGTAAAGAGCATCTTTCATCAGCCGAAAAAATTCTCACCCTGGATATAATTATTTTATCTGTGTGTCATAATATACTGAAGGTATGACAACTAAAAAAATGGGAGAATTCGTGTAGATAAATAAGGCCCATGTTAGTCTTGCGCTCCTTCACGTTTTTTTAGGCGCTGCCTCCGATATATACGTTACGTGTCCAATGTAACGCTGTTCTCTTCAGGATTTTGACAGTTCTTGTTCATTCTTCAACATTTTCGTTTTGTACGATGCAACTGAGTGTTTTTTGCCAAGATTAAAAAAAAAGTTTTTGCTCTAAGATAAAAAAAAATTTTTTTTACGTTGCAAGTAATATATTATCTTGTGTAAAACTTTTCAGGAAAAAGTACGAAAGTATAAAAAGTAGGAAGTAAAAATTTTTTTTTTAATCACATGCGAGATAACAAAAGCGTAAAATTTATAAAAAAGATATCCATAATGTATTTTTAATTTTTTTTTTTTTTTTTTTTTTTCTTNTTTTTTTTTTAATTTTCGCTCTGCTTGCTTGAAATAAAAAACAGCTGCTATCTTTTAGACAATCGTTAAAAAAAAATTATCATATAATAATGAAATGTTTGCACGTTATTGTTGTACTAAAATAGTTTTAAAAAATGTCGAAGCATACACAATTAACTATAATGTAGGTGAGCGTGAGAAATATAATAAACACGAGTTGAATATTTATCCGTCAAAAATATAATATATCATTTTAATGAACCACGAATCCTATATAATTCGATATCCTCTCCAATTAAGTCACACAAAGCTCGTCCCTTTAGCATTTATAATTTCGCTAATCAACGAATAAGCCAAGCTAATTTTTATTAACATTAATTATGGTTTTCTACAATTACACAATCACCGAAAGCCTTTCTTCTATTCCAAATTTCAACAATATTTTCGCAGATTTACATTTGGAATATCATAAGGGAAAAAAAAAAACACACTCTGCCCTCTATCACCGGAACACGCCTGCAGAGTCTAAAGGGAGGAAGGAAAGAAAAGCCTCGTACACGTCAGGCTTAACGATAGAGCTAGAGTAGCTGGTTAAGCACAAATAGTACCGCCCACACCCACATACATACTCATACATCATATGTATATATCCACGCATTGTGCGCGTACATGGGGAGTCGCAGCTTCAATGCTTCAATCTTGCTCTCGAGGGAGTAAGAGAAGAGCCGCATCATCCTACACGTGCAAACTCTGGGGAGTCGGATAACGAGAGTTCGAGCAAGCGACGAGATGCATACGTATAGGCATTGGATGGTGCGCTAGTGCTTGCAAGCTCCGCGGAAGCTTATTCCTTTCGTCAAAGGTTGGTTCGAAGCATATGGGCAAAGGTATTGTAATCGTACTGTAAAGGGTTCAGATGGAGATTTTCATGTTTTGGGTTGTAATGAAAAATAAACGAAACTTGGACGACGGAGAAAATCTGCGTTGAATCAAGCTTTTAGAAAAATTAAAACTTGCCAAACGAGAAAAAAAAAAAAAAAAAAAACGAAAATTCATAACGGGAAAACGAAAGCTCACGCGAGAACAATTCTTTCCGGGAGGTATGAGAATTACATTTTTATCCCTGTTTTTCGTGTGTCGCGAAAATGATTTTCCGTTTGTAATCTTATGAGGAACCCGCGCCATCCCGGCCCGACATCCGTTTTCATTTACATGCGACTTTTTTACGCAACTCCCGACCTTTTCCTCTGGTTTTTTTCTTCCTCTTCTACTTTCCCACCCCCCCGTCCTAAGCCCGAAGTAAAACGCGGTCACACCGACACGCTTCCTTTGAAGTAAGAAAAAATAAAAAATAAAGAAAACGAGAGAGAGAGGAGCAGTAGCAGCTCGAAGGAATTCAAATCGAAGTGGAGCGACAAAAAGACGACGCGCCCCACATACACGCATACGCGAGCGGTGAACGAGCAGATTTGATATGCAGATGCGCGCGCGGTGGGCGCTGGGGAGGAAAAGGGGGAAACGGCGTGTAAGGCGCGGGGAGTGATTTTGCGGGAGGGCATGCGCGCACGGAACGCAAAATAACCGGGAGAGTCTTGTCGAGTAAGCTACTGATGGGATGGAGGTGAAGGGAGGGGGTGGGGGTAGGAAGGTCGAAAGTGAAAAATTTAATAGCGCGTCGCGAGAGAGGAGCCGTTCTTTGTTTTTTGTTTCCCGAATGGAGGAGTAGGGAAAGGGTGGAGAGACCGATGGGAAGTTTGAGAGAAATCCAGGGGGAGTCGGCTGACAACTGGAGCATCGACTAATATCTCAGATTTAAAAGGCCAGGGGAGCCTGGGATCTTTTTTTCCCACCCCTTCCCAACCGCGCTTAGCTGGCGCACACGTACTTACTTACTCAAAAGTATTTCTACTTTTTTTTTTTTTTTTTTTTTTTTTTTTTTTATTTTTTTTTTTTTTTTT